CTTCAATCCATATTTCTGCTGGACACTAACAGAACCATTTGACTTCAGGCTTCTGAAATTGCAAGTCACTTATACATGGGAACCTTTTCAGTTATACCTCACAGAACCCAGTGGCACCACCTCTGCCTTTACCTCATGTTTTGCTGGAGAGTGCACCTACCATACTATGCAGGGTGCCTCCTGGACTTAAAGGATCTGCTGTAATCCCCCTTTTTTTTAATCTTTTACTTTAATATTTTTTTTAATCTTTTTGACTTTTCTTTCAGGTGGCAAGGTGGCCACATGTGGTAGATTACCTTCCCATTCCTTGTCATCTGCTTAACTTGCTTTACCCATATTTCTTATTCTCTTGTATGATGTGTGATCTTTGGCTAATTGAGAACCTCTTTTGTATTGCAGTTTTAGTTTTTCAGCTGGCATTGCTTTAGCAAAACTTGATAAAGAGCTGAAATTTGTAAAGCTAGCAGGCATTTTGCTTTTGTGAAACTAGCCTAATTTTGACGGAGAGATTCATTTCATGGGTAGCCTTAGAAAACACATAAATCTTTCATAAGTTTGTTTTCTGCTATTTTTAATGCCCTAAATCTGTCACATACATTGTTGACTCAAAACATGTAGCAACTACCAAGTAATCAAAGACAGAGAACACTTCTAATTCTCATGTAGGCTGCAGTAAGGTTAACTAAAGAGTGTATGTGAAAGGTTAGAATTTGGGGGTGAGGGGGAAGTTAGATATGGCAGGAGAGTTGCTTAGAAGCTGTGGTGAAGCATTAGTTGTTGAATACACAGGAGACTTGAGATGCATTATGAAAATTTCTCTGATTATGTATGTAAAGGAATACAGTTTCAAAGTCCTGCCATGAATTTAGTTGAAAATGTGAAATTGAAAGCAATAATGTGTTCCAAAGGGTCTTATGTAAAAGATACCAAGTTGATGTATGAAGGTACATGAATTAGGATAGAATACTGAGGTGAAATTGAAAACATCTGCGCAGTCCCCAATTAAGTTACAGTAAATGTGTGTTATATTTCAGTATTTAAAATGATCATAAATGTAAGATCAGTCCTTTCAATGTGGCCATCAGCAGCAGATATTTGTCAAAAGTAAGCCAACAAAAATAATCTGATAACAATTAAGCGTTACCCTCTATAATAGATAATTCCCAGTAATTCTGCCCTGTTTACTTAAGGGAAGATTGTAATAGATTTTTCTTTTCTTTTTAGCTTCTGGCTCATAATGTTGTCTATGCATGATTGGATATTATTAATAATTTCTTGTACTTTGATCCTACAAGAAAGCATCCGGTTTTATTAATCAATTATTTTAATTGTTACTGCTACATTTTAGAAACCTCACTAATAGGTCACCATTATAGAAAACATTAAAAGAACACATTCACCAAACAACAAATACCCTTTAACAAATCCTCTTCTTATGTAGTTCAGCATAATAATGATGTTCCTTTTATTTTTCTTTTAAGATAATCTTCACCCTCAGCTGTAAATTCTGAATTTTTCTGAAAGCCTCAGGAGTTGGTGGAGCTCCTTAGCCATTGCTTTCAGTTAAAACAAAGTGTAATGAGGAAAAATAATGAAGATGTCCAAAATTTAAATGTTCAAAAGATTTGAACATCTGGCAACACCTTCTGTCTACATAAAATAAATATTGTGTGTTATTGCTCCATTTGTGTTACTACAGTCTCATTATTGTAGTATTAATATCTTTATGAGCTAATTGTTTCAGTTAATGCCAACAAGCCAAGGCTTGCTTAACCTCTGGTGTATTGCTTGTTGACAAATTGACAAATAACATTTCATGTGGTTGTATCATGTTCTGCATTTTAGGACAGATTGTGTGCAACTGCTTGTAGGAATTTGAGGGCTGGAGATGTTGGCTCCAAACTTTGGTGCCTATATTGCAGTGATAACATAGATCCCTGTGGTTCTTGGACTGTTGTAAATGGTTCATTGATTGTCAGGTAGACCTTACATTTAGTGAAAGAGGTCTTGCTTGATGGTTTTTTAGCCAATAAATTGATAGCCGCCTTCAAGTCAGCAGGGGAATGCTAATCCTCTTAAATATCCAAGTCTTTGATATAAGAGCCACGTTTATTAGTTGTCTGTTGTTGGGATAGCTGTGCTATCACAGTAGTGACTGGGTTGAAGTTCTGATATTGCATTTAGATGTCACTAGGCATAATAAAAATATTAAAATGCAATCATTAACGGGAAAAAATGTTATCCTAATTTAAACCAACTTGTTACCAATAGGATTAATGTTCTCAGTAGATGAATTTTTGGCATTAAAAGGTGAAAGTGACTGCTATCATCTTTGATAAGTAGAAATAAAGTAGTCATGAACTTTACATAGATTAGAATGCATCTATGTGATCCTTGAAGAACAATCACTGACAGATGGCTGACATCTGAGAATCTAATGCCTTCCACAGTTGTAATTCTTTCCTTTCACTTTGTCAATCTGATTGTGGAATGTTTCTTGTCTCTGTGAGACTCCTTTCCCTAAAGTGGTGGAAAAAAAAATCAGAAGCAACATGTACCTCATATGAGTTATCTTCTGAAGTGAATTCTATGTGTGTAAGATTTATGAGTAACTTAAAATGTGAATACATTCCCAAAATATGTGCTGTGGGTGTATATAATCACAGGATCATAGGAAGGTTTGGGTTGGACATGACCTTAAGGACCATCTAGTTCCAATCCCCTGGCCATAAACATCAACACTTTTTATCAGACTAGGTTGCTCAAAGCCCATCCAACCTGGTCTTGAACACTGCCACGTGTGAGGCATCCACAACTGCTCTGGGCAACCTGTGCTGGTGTCTCATCACCCTCACTGTAAGGCACTTCTTCCTGATATATCTAATCTCTAGATCCCCCCTCTGAGTTTGGAGCTATTCCTCCTTATCCTATCCCTACATGTCCTTGTAAAAAGTCCCTCTCCATGTTTCCTGCAGGCCCTATTTTTAGGTACTGTAAGGCTGCTGTAAAATATCATAACTGTTTTCCTCAGAAAGAGTTCAGGCCTTCATTTTTTCTAAAGGGCAATGCTAAATAAAGTCTAGTTTTCACAATGATAATCAGAGAAATTATTGCACTTGTATTCTGAGCTGGATTAGTTAAACTTCATTGAACTGTGTGTGGCTTCTCATTCAGAAACAGAATAGCCTTTGTTCAGTGTAGCCTATTTAATTTTTAAAGTAAATTAAAGCAAATGGAATTAATGCTACTTTAGTAAAGTACATCTACATGCAGGTTCAGTGTAGTTTTCAATCTACGCTGAATTCACAGCTTGAATTCAGAATTATTTTGCCTTAAAGGCATGAGAATATAAGCAGAAGGATGGGCAGTTTTTACTAGTTAGTGATGGTCATTGAACCTGCTTAACTTAGATTAGATGTTGAAGGAAACTTCAGCTTCTTTAAGGAGCTATGGACAGATTCTTCCCTCCCTCCCTTCCTCCGTCCTGTTAAAAATTAAATCATATGCCTGGATAAAAAAGATTCTACAATATGATGCCATGGCACAGCTGCATTTAGCAGACACATTTATTATGGTGGTACTTTGTTAAATCTATGCCTTAAGGGAGGCAAGATTGGTAAGGCAAGGAAACATTCTGTATCAGATAAACTGGTGCGTATGGGGGAAGTAAAGGCAAGGGAGAATTGAGAAAGCTAATTGTAGATTGCCAGTACTGACACTGACTGGACAGTTTTCTGTGCCACTTAGAGCACTGTATGCTTGGTGTACCTCAGCCACTCGGGCACCTTTTCAAAGAAACACAGAATGGCTGTGGTACTTCTTTGAGCAAAGCCAAATTGCTACTGTTCTGTATTCTGCCCATCACTAATTTATTTTAATATTCTGTATCCATTTAAGAGGAAAATATGTACCTCAGAAGTTCTTTGTATCCTTGAATGTAATTGACTGTGAGTCTTTCATAATTTACAGTAATACAAGACAGTGTGGATGTCTCTCAGGACATTGTCTTACCAGCCAGTCTAGATTTTTACACTCTAGGCTGCATGAAATGATATCAATAACCTAAAAAAATTACTGCAGTATACTGACTAATCCTCTGTGATGAAGAGCTGCTGCAGTCCTTTGAGATGGGTGGCACTTTGAGGAGTGTTTCACACAGGGTAATAGAGTGTCTGGAAAGGAGGAGTGATGATACAGCTGAGACATAGCAGGTAAACGATACCTTTGCTAAAACCCAGGCTTAGTCAGAGCTCTGTAGATGTGGTTAGTTGGCAGTTCTTTTTCATGATTAAAATTCTGCCATGTGGTTAAGGATTCACTATATTCACTAAAGGCTCTTGGGCATTTTCTGGTACAGGCAAACAGAAGAGAAACTGATTACAAGCTACCTGTATAACTGGCATAGCATTTCCAAACACAGATTATCCTATTTAAAAAATGCATGGCTTCCACACATCCTTTTGTCCATTAAGGTGGGCAAAGGCCATGGAATCTGTGCCAAAGAAATCTGTGCCTCCCGTCACAGGACCACGTTACAGGTATCACTGCTCTCATGTAAATGCTTCCTCTAGGCAGGTGGGTTGATGTTGTAAACATACAGCATGTGCTTATTTCCATATAAAGAAAGCAAGAGTGGTAAAAATCCTGTTTTATCCTAGTGTATGAGCATTCTGAGATGACAGAACTGGGTGATCTCCCTGACTTTGCTGTTCACAACCATTTCAATCTAAAGGCTGTGTCCCTTTTTGTTTTAGGAAGACAAAGCATATGTGTAGAGCCTGTTCCTGTAAATCAAGGCTGCAGGATCAAAACTTCAGAGGCAAGCTCTATATCAAAGGAGGACACACATTTACATTAAGAGAATTTTGCCAGGCTTTCATGTGCTGTCCTTGGTGTGACTCCAAATCCCAGATGAGTAATACATTGGAAACCACATCATGGCCATGTTGGGTTGGTTTAGTATTATTAACAGTGTTCTCATTTCACATTATTTATTTCAGATCAGCAGACTACCTCTGATAATAACTTGTCAGATGTCAGGGGAGCAACAGAAGAAACACATCTCACTTTTAAAACAGAGGTACTTTCTGAAAGACTAGAAAGTAATGAGCAGTCAGTATTGGTGCTTCCAAGAAGAATATCATGTGAGGTAAGACTTCTGGATGCTAAAATCTTTAGGATAACAGTTATTGTTCTTCTCCTCCTGCTGCAATCTCATTCATACTGTATCTGCTGTTTATTTCCAAAATTGTAAAGCGACCAAAATGAGAGTGCACCTAGACTGCAGTAGGATTTTTTTGCCTTAGCATTGCATCCACACTGCAGTCAAGAGATTTGGAAGTAAAGTCATTTGGATATAGCTCTATTAGAGTTATTTAGCAGCTTGAGCTGAAGTATTACTGTCATGTGGGCCTTATACTTCAGAGGGAGCAAATAATCAGGCACTTCTTGAGAGATGTGGGATTTGTCCTGGCAAGAATCCAGGATGGGTGTATGTATACATGCATATGTGCCAATACCATGAATTACACAGGGCTTGTGTCAGCACAGACCTAGCTTGAGTTTAAATTAAATCAGAAACATTTATATGTGCATGTCTGCATGCATGTGCAGTAAACATAAATGTTCATCTGTGCTTTTAATCAGAGTGACTGTGAGGAACATGTGACAGCATAAACAGAGGAAGTAAAAAATCCAGCAGTGCATTCCTTCACGTGAGTGGCCACGGTCAAATATGGAGGTTGCAGTGTACACAGAATGTCACAGATTTTGTTAGCTGACTGTCTTTTAAAGATGATTTACACACATTATTTAATTATTGAGATCAGTACACTGCTAAGGGAGTGACTTTGCCGCTAGCTGAGGAAGTAGAAGAGGGCTATTGTCTCAGATCACCTGCTGCTTCTCTCTACTGTCACCTTACTGGAACAGGTTAAGTGGGTCTAAAGTATTTTAGGCTATTCTTATTAGGATGGATGTCATTCTTCTAGACTATAGAGGGGCCTTAGAAAATGTAACAATTCACCAACATATATATTTAAAATATTTATTTTAATAAATATTTAAAATATTTATTTTAATATATTTAAAATAAATATAATATATATTATATATATATATTATATAATATATACCAACATATATATTTTAAAATACTCTTATGTAAGCTGAATTTAAAATCCTATGATAAATTTAAATCTTACGTTCTTGTGTCTTTCATGTAAGAAAGGAAACACTAAAGGAAAGCTCACGAAATACTAAAGGAAGCTGTGAGATACCATCATATTTTGGTAGTACGATTTTTTTTGCATGAAGCTGTTGGTGAAAGGAAGTTCTTTCAATACACTTTAAATATAATGTTGCACTTCCAATATAATTTTCTGAGGGACTAATAGGAACATATTTTAATTTTGTAGAACCCTGGTGAAATATTCATTCTGTTGAAAGAAGAAGTAGGTGAAGAAACTCTTGAAATTGAATTCATAACAGATAATCAACAAATTAGAATGCAGACAGCTTCTTGGAACAAGAAGGTCAAATATGTGAAAGCCCTAGGTAAGAAAAATATTCTTTACCTTTAAGAAAAACTAAAAAGCTTCAACTCCCTTCACTTTTTCTGATAAGTAGTTTCCCTTTCTGCTATTTTGTGGGTGTTTCCTGTAAATGAGTTTTGCACACTTAACTGTTAATAATGCAGAGAAGCAAAACCTTGTGATTTATGGGAACCTAGGTTCTGTTAGATTGGTTTTCTGTGGTTAAATGGCAGGTGGCAGTCATAAAATGTCATTGATTAGTTACAGATTAATATTCTCCAAAATTACGGCCATAAAATGCAAACCTAATATTCTTTTCTTATTACTCTGTTACTAAATGTGTCATTTTATATTTAATGCAGTAAATCTGGTTGTTCTCCTCTCCATAACTCTTACTGATGCAGGAAATAGTTTCTTTTCTCAGTTCACATTCATGTAGTTTCTCTGTATCACTCATCTTTACTAGTTCCTAATGTTTTTTTTCTGTTGCTCCATCTACAACTAGTTGATAACGACATAGTTATCAACTATTTAACAGTTTCTCTTGGAAGATCTGTGCAGATTTAAGGGGCACACCTCTCCCCATTCTTGATGTGAGTTAAGAATTAAAACATTTCTCACCTATGTATTCAGAATATAGTTTGCTATTGGGCTGTGTGCTGTGAATTGCCAGAGGAACTTACATAATATTTTATTATAAAATTATTGCAATATGACCTTCGATAGGAGGAAATACTGCAATAATAGGCTACAATTTTCCACTGTGGCTTCTTGGAACTATGTTTTCGTAATTCTGTGACCTGATGATTTGTGTGACTCGGCCCTGGTAAGACTGTCCCAGTTGCATGCTGTGTCCAGTTCTGGGCCCATGCTTTGAAAAAGACACTGAAGTACTGGATTGTGTCCAGAGAAGGACAGTGGAGCTGGGGAAGGGTCCAGAGTGTAACTCACGTGAGGAGTGGCTGAAGGAGCTGGTGTTGTTCAGCCTGGAATAAAGGCTGATGACTCTCTAAAACCTACCTGAATGGAGTCTGTGCCAGGGGGGATTTGATCTCTTCTCCCAGGCAATCACTGACAGGGCAAGAGGACGTTGCCTCAAGCTGTGCCAGAAGAGGTTCAGGTTGGACGTCAGGAGGAATTTATTCACAGAAACATTTGTTAAACATTGAAACAGCCTGCCCAGGGTGCTGGAGGAGTCACATCCCTGGAGGTGTTTGAGAAATGACTGCGTGTGGCATGTGTGCCATGGTCTTGTTGAGAGGCTGGTGGTCGGTCAGAAATTGAACTCAATGATCTTGGAGGATTTTCCAACCTAATTGATTTTGAGATTTTTGTCCTGAACACTGTCCTGAGACGATGGCCACGTATGGGCTGAGAGTTCTTTATCATTGTGACAGTGCAGAGAGTTTGTTTTTAGAAACTTGACTGGAAAGTACGTAACAAGCAGGGAACTTCCATCTGTAGCTGGATTTCAGAGAGCAAAAGCTACACTCTTGCACAGATCTTAAAAGAGTCTTCCAAATTTATTTATTTTTTTTGGTGAGAACACTGTTGATCACAAAAAAGGTTTCTGTAGTAGTTGAAGAAATAAAATGTGACAAGTTAATGAAATATGAAAAAATTGTCAGAGAGCTGTAGCTAAGTTTAATTATGTTTCATATATCATTTGTATTGGATGTTTATTCTGTTTTAAAACCTGGAAGAGTGGGAATCTGGAAGTATCCTGTTTCAGGTCCATCTGATCTGATGTTATAGGAGAAATGCTGTATTTTGTTGGGTTTTTTTGTTTTTTGTGTTTTTTTTAAGCCCACCTTTGGGCAGTTTCCATTTAAGTGATTTAATGTGATGTACTATTAGTCTAGTTTCTCTGGCCCTATTCCTCTTCTCCATTTCCAGAATTGCCCCTTTTTTCACTGTTTTGTGGGCAGAGTTAGTATTTTAAGAAGACTGTGCTAGTGTGGTCCAGCAGAATGCCTGGCACAACAAGCACTAATGGGTTGGGAAATGTGCTCATAAAGTAGGCTTGTGCTGCACGCACAGAGCAAATCATGCTGCAGTAACAGACTACAAGTGCCTCTCTCCTTGGCTTTTGCGAGGTAAACAACTGGAATGGATTAATTATACTGCAATTTCTGCAGCCTAGCTCAAATACAATTTTGAGAATCTTGACTGCAATTAAGAGAAATGTTTCATAAGATGAATAGCGATTGCTGTATTTGTGATAAATGCACTTTTCCTTAACATGTAGGCATAAGGGAGCTGATTATAGGTCATCAGGCTATCAAAGGGCAGTTGGAAATTTTAAGCATTCTGTTTTCATCTCCTTTCTAATGTGAAGCAATACAATAGCTTTGCTTTATACAGATTTAAAGATATGTATTTTCTTTTGTCAGCTTTCTGATGTTATACTGAAAGACCTGAATAAAAAACTGACTACACTGAATCATCTGTGAAATGCAAATCCAGTCATATCATCAATTCTGTGTTTTTCTGTGATATTTTCTGTTCTTTTACTCATTCCCTGAGCTCTCTGGTCTGGGACTGTAAAATTTTTTCAGCTAGTGTTCTGATTTGTGTTTTATAAGATTTTCCTGCTGGCCCTGTATATGTAAATGTCTACTGTGGGGGAGTCATTAAGAAGACAGCACAGATTGAATACTATACTGCACTAGAGGAAATTGAACCCATTTTAAAGAAAGTGGCTGACCCAATAGCTTTCACTTGTCAGGTAAGTTGACTTCTCAAATTTTAATTAAAGAAAAATAGACTGTAAGTGCCTAAATGAACTAAGAGAGAGTATGAAATCTTTTGATTGCACAGTAACTTGTAATGGCTCAGTACTGGGCTCAGGGTTAAGCAGCCTGCCTCTGAGATGTCTGGTGGTAATCAAGTCAGGCAAGAGAAAACAAATTTTTCAATGTTCTTTTTTGTTTAGAGAGTGATGTCAACATACTTTGTGCTGTATATGCCCAATGAACAACATACTGCACTCCAAAGATTGAAAATAAGAACAAATATTAGTGAAGTCCCTCTCCATTTAAAGTGTAATTTTTTGTATGTTCTGAAACCAATAGAAGCAAGTAATCTTAAACCACATTGTGTTTGGAGGGTTATTATTCATTCACTATCAAACCAAATTTTTCTGGCACAGCTTGTATGGGAAGCAGTAGGTTGCTGTTCATTAGAATCCATTTACAGCTGCTGAATTCTCATTCATGTGATTTGCTGGTTGCCATGCAGATTCTTTGTGTGTATTTAGAAAAAATCAGGTTTTGAGCCGTGTTTCAGTCTGCAGTGCTCTGCAGCATGTTCTTTCCCAGTGGCACATAAGAAATAACAGGAGAAGAAAGCATATTTTAAGAAAGAACAGAATCTCAAGTGTCATTTCTTGAATGGTGGATAGCCCAAGCAGACCTTGAACGATGTCTGTATCATAATTGCAAAGCCAGAACAAAAATAATAGATTGTGTTTCCAGTGCAGACAATCTCATTTTCCTGTGACAAATATACCTTATCCACCACCTAAGGCATTACACTCATAACAAAAGAATTAATAAAATATGATGTATTGCATTATTAGTGTTCTATTAAGGATGAGGCTAGATTCCTTCCAAGCACAAGTTACTTCTGTTCTAGGAAAACAGGCTGTTGCACATGAAAAATAGTGCAACTCAAAGAACAAATGTGTTCTTAAATTTCTTATGGTAGCCATCATTTTTTAGCCTGTATTTTGAAGTATATCTAAGTAAGCCTCTAACAGGTTTCATTTAAACCTCTATGCATAAGAAGTGTGCCATAATGATTTAAAAATTTATCATTAACATGGTACCCTAGATGCTTGCAACACACAAGATATTTCCACAGTTATTTGTGTTATTCAGGAGTTTGACCCTTTGTTTAACCAGCATGACTGATATTTATTAAAGCACATGCAATTCAAATCATATTCAAATGCAAAAATAATTCTGTGCAGAGCAGTAGTGCACACCAGGAAATACAGCTGTAGTACTATGAAGTATGTTTAACATTTCCTCACCTTTACTCCTCTGAATAATAAGCAAGGGTTTAAATGAGGTGCTGATGCTGTATGCTCTTATTTTTATTGTTTTGGTAACTTTAAAACTGATGTAAAAAAAAAGTGGTTTTAATTGGGGAGGCTCTACAGTCCACACAATGGCATGGCTGCTCTGCAAAGTGTACTAATGCTAATTCCTCTGTAAGTGTACCTATGTGTCTCATTTAGTGGTACCTGCTGGGCCTCAGAATGCAGTACAATAACTACCTAGGTAGCTAAATTTTTCTGCAAACTTTTTAAATGAGCTCCTGATTTAATGTCAACAAGCTCCATCATAAAGATGCAATTTACAGAACATAATTTAACTTAATCTTTAAAATATGTTCACAAAAGGAAAAACAAAACAGACTTGATAGTAATTAGAATTCCCATCAAGATGCAGCAGTAGTAGTAACTTCTGTTTAACCAGGATAATTAAAACCTTTGAGACTATCAACTTGTTTGCAAAAGTATCCTGGGGCAACAGTCATTTATCTATGCAAAGTAACAATCAAACACAATGGAAAACAAAACTGATATAAAATAGAAAAGCTTACAGCAATTATTGATCAAAGCAATATGACTCTGTGATTCAAGGGAAAGTTCAAGATTTTCACAAATAGTTGCAATCTGAGAAGTATCTCCTTATTAAAATTCTGTGGTGAAAGCAAATGGCTGCATTAGCTCATACCAAAGACCCTGTGCTTTGGTAAAATGCTTACATTATTTTCTGTATTGCCTTGCCAACCTTTCCAGCTCCTTTGAAATGCTCCACTTTGTCCCCCAATAAAGCCAAAGAGACAAACCCCAAAAAATAGGATTACAGCTATCCGTTCCTTTTAGTGATGGCAGATGAATTCATGGATGTTAGTGAGAGACTATCAAAATATAGCACCACTGCATTTATGGATCTGTTTTTTGAAAGCAGTTAAAGATTGCCATTAGCTATGGTTTAGATTAAACATAAGATTTTTACAAATCATGGTTTTGGATAAAATTCTTTGCCATGTCTGATAGATTGTAATTTTCTGTTCCAAATTTTTTCTGAATTTGAAAAGCATTTACCAACATCAGCAAGACATTTTAAACAACCAAATAAATATTTAAAATGTAATTGAATAAATAAATAAAATTAAATTAGTTTCTTTGCATGAGTTTTGAAAGAAAAAAACCTGAAATGTTAAAAGCAAGAAAAGTTGGGATCATAGTAACTGAATTGTAATCCTGAATGGATTTGCTATGAGAATATAGGAGGGTGAAAGTTGGCTAAAGGTCATTATTTTTTTTTGGTTCTCTCACTTTCACAATTCTGCGTTCAAGAAACTCTCTTAGGGAGTTTATATTCTTACAGTAACCTAATGTACAGAGTGATTTTAAGGTTTTTATAATTCATAATTAAACTTTTTTATATTTCATGTTTTACTTTACGTCAACTAATCATTTCAGCATTCCGCTGGATTTATATGCTGTATTGATTTTTCTCTCAGAGTTTCTACCAAATGGAAATATTGATTCAATTATTCAGTGTTGGGGTTTCCTGGCATAGATTTATTGGGTTTCAAAATTAAAAAAACAATTAAAGCTAAGGTCATATCCTGATTACTCAAGTTGGTAAGTTCATGTTAGCTTGAGTGACTTAGAATATCTAGAGAGATTGAGGTTGGTTTGGTTGGTTTGGTTGAATAATATTGGTCAAGCTTTGGTTGAATAATATTACTCTGATTGTGAGATACTTGGTATCTACTTATCTACTTGGTTTTTATCATAATCATTAAAGAGGATTCCAGTTACAGCTGATATTGGAAAAGAAGAATGAAAACAAACTGCAGCCTTCTCTATGAAAACTTGTAAAATAGCTATATTATTTATGTGGTGATATTTTGTATGCATATCTACCTGATATCCAGAGATACTTCATTTGAAACTGTATTTAATATTTCAAACTTCTCAGCCACATCAACAGATGTTATTTTAAAATGCTTCTTTCTTTTCCGCTAGGTATGAAAGCTTTCCATATTCTGTCAGTGGCTAAAATTGTCAGAAATGCCTGACGGGTTTTAAACCTAGCCTGTTCTCATTGGCAGAAGCAATCCAGACATGGAAGTGCATATAAAGTAGTGTCTGATGTGTAAGAACTGATGAAGAAGTTCATCTTTATGTAAATGTAACCTTGTTAGTACTGCCAGAGCCAGTGGAATATGCTAATTTAATGGCTGTGGATGCTGTGTTTCAGTGGCACACATTTTCATGACTTGGTTAGCAGTTATTAAAGAACGTAGGTAATCTCATTCACAAAAATATGTTGTGCTTGGTGGTCTCCTTTTTCAAGGATGCTTTTCGAAGTCCAGCTGTGATGGTCAGCACTTGGGGCTTTTCTTTTCACAGCTGTGTCCTGTTGCTTTGGAAAGGAGTGAGGGAATAGGGACAGTGCCTACAGCTGGAGAGGTGGTACTGAGACAAGCAGTGAGGCTTGTGGAAGGATTTCCAGTACTGGACAGAGAAGTTGACTGTGCTTCAGAGAGTATGGGAAGAATTGTCTACAAACTCACTAGCTTAGTTCTGGGGGGCTGCAAGGACATAGAGGGAAACTAGCACAATTGTGTATTTTCTCCAGGGTTGAAAATCTTTATTTGGTCAAAAGGCGGGCTTTCTCAAACTCTGAGTTGCTCAGAGTTCCCTTGCAGGGTGCCTAACTTCAAGTTCAACTTTAAATACAGTTCTGCTTCTGTTGGCTTTGGTGAAGCTTCCCCAGGAACTTCAGGTTTGTAATGTTGGTGAGATTTCTTGGGAAGATTTCTTGGGCCTATGGAGATCTGCGTAGGGTATGTTAAAATACATAAACACAGCAGACTTTGAGTCTGTGAATGCTCTGAGGCAGAAATGGGCAGTAAAGTAAAAGAAGTAAAAGTCTAAACCAAATTGTTTCTTGAGGAAAGCCTCTTTATGATATGGAGCTGGATAATGCAGTGGCCCTATTCCTACTTCTGTTTTCTCCTGTTTTAGCTGCTGTCTTCACATAAATGCTGGAACAGGTCCTCCTGTATGTGAGATAAGACATAGCTGCCTTTTTTTTTTTTTATTATCTATTTTTTTTCCCTTTTGTATCTTTGCTATAGAGTAGCACAAAAAAGCTCACCATTGCAGTTCAGTAAACAGCATAGCTTGTTAAATCATTGCTTAAGCCTTCAGATTTTACATCCCAAGACTAAGAGGAAAAACAAAAAGTTGAGGTGGTGGAAAACTTGAAGCAAATTGCATGGTTAAATTTGCATAAGAAGTGCATTATTCCTGACTTGTAAGTCATAGAATTGGATGGGCTGGTCATTGGAGGGAAGGCCTGTTGAAGTATGAGAAATTTTCCTACAGGTTCCTGAAGCTCGTCTCTGCTCAAGAACTTGTTCCATCTTAGGTTGTAAAGCACTGGTTTATGCCATGTACATTTGGTTGTCTGAGCATGAAGTAAGAGTTATGTGTTCTTAAGGCACTTCTTCCCTAGGTTTCTGACTGAATAAAAGGGATGAGGAAGGGTTTTGGTCTCAGCTCCAATTACAGATTTGTAGGCAAGATGTCTCAGAATGCTTGCTGAAAAGAGACTGTGTGGTGCTTATTTCTCTTGGATATACAGTGCAGTCTGAAATGGATTCTGTCTGAAATTGCTCCTCTGGAATTTCAGGACAGAAGATAAGAGGTAGGAATTGTTGAGGAGGGTTTTGTTTGTTTGTTCATTTTCTTTTGAACAGGGAGGTTTAAATAGAGAGCACAATGTGTAGGGGGTATCCCTGCCATTTTAAATGGAGGTTAAAAATATTACTTCAAGCTTAGTTTGTCTAGAAGCCCACTTAATTCTTATTCTCTGCATAGTGGGGTATTTACTTCGCAGTTGCTTCAGTGAGTACCAATGGTTTTGAACCTCTTTATTCATGACACAGGATCTGCCATGTACACTCATCTGAGCTAGTTCCTGTGTTGTTACTTGGTTTTGTTCTACTCTAGATTGAACTCTGTTAAGGTAATGTAATGATAATGTATCTAAGACCTATTTGGAGAGAGAATAGTATGGTTTCCTAACTGAATTTTTATATTATTCCTCTTAATAACTTGTAAACGTAGTGTTGTTTTTCATGTTAATAGTTTGGGGGTTTTATAGATATTTTTTAAGGTTTTGCATATGCTTTCTGAATTTGCACACTAAGTCTTGTGCTCAGGTTAGATTTTTATTCTAGAACAAGCCTCAAAGATCTTTTTTCCTAGGTGGAGTCTTAATGCTTATTTTTCCTTATTGAAGATTATTGCATGTATTCATAATTATTGAACAAAAATACTGAGGATGTAGTGTGACAGCACAGAAATGAAGTGAATTATGAAAAGAAATGCAATGATTTTTAAGTATCTTAATATTGGAAGGGCCAAGGTTAATTATGGGGAAATAAACAATCATATTGTTAGCTTCCTACCTGCATAAATGTCTCTTTTAGTTCTTGGTAGGTGTTGGATGAAAATTATATCCTGCCTGTGCATTCAACATTTTCTGGTCACACCATACTTACTTTTCTTATTCCCTTTTAACAGCCTTGGGAATTAAACTTCATGTTTCGTCAGTACACCCCCCCCCCCGTCAATTTCTCCTCAGCATGTCAGTCATAGACTTTCTTTTTAAATTCATATGCTAAACATGTCTGAAGATGTTCCATTTTAGTCATCCCAGAATCACCTTGACCAGCAACAGTCCAGCTGTGGGGAGGCAAACTTTAACAGAAGGCTACTGACCCTGAGCAGAGCAAAGCAACTCTCCCTGAGGTCTTCTCTGCTGTGGCTGAGCTCCTTTTGGTGCCCAGTGCAGCACAGACTGGAGTACACAGCTGTAGTACTTGGTGTAAAATGTCCTTACTCTTCAAGTGACTCCTCTGACTACTCTCTGTAGCCAGGCTGCACTTGTCAGGCCAGGCAAACAAATATTTAATTCTGGCTGCCTTGAAAGTTGTTAGGGTAGATCTCGACTTTCTGTCCAGAAAGAGGCACTCAAAAATCTCCTGGCAGTTAGTGCAGATTTCCCTTGTCTAAAGACTGTGTGTTTAGTAGGCAGCTGATCTATCTGGTTGATATTAATTTTTTGCTCTGGCAACAATGTTATGTCTTGGTTGATGAAACTGAAGCCATTTCCTACCTAGAGAAGTCCACAATCTTAACGTAATAGTTTTGGGTAACAGAGAGCTACTATAATCTTTAAACTCAGCCTGAATTACTACTGTAGTACAACATAGATTTTCCTGTCCTTACACTTCATCCAGAAGTTTTTAAGTCATGTCTGAACTTCATATTTATAATGCATGTTTATGTACAGTTGGATCATGTTGTCATAATTCTTTTGTATTAAAGTATCTCTTCTATAGTTTTCAAAAACTGTGCTTCTCTTACTGAAAGAGAGTTTGCCATAATACTGTTTTGAGTAATTTGATTCACCAGCATTCTGAGAATAAAGTTAAAAATACATATGCAGAAAATGCACTAATTTTTTTCTGGTTTTTTTCTTTCTTTTAAACAGGCATTGAAATTTTCTTCTGTAGAGAAGGTAGACAATGTTCTGACTTCATTACTGAAAAGCAAAATATCTCCTTATGAATTCAGCCTACTCCAAAGTGAAGAAGAGCGACATCACCAAGCTGGTGAGTCACTTGTTCTATGTATTGATTTTTATTACTGATGCTATGGTTATTACTTATAAATTTTAATAAGACAGTCCTTAAGTATTGAAAGCCTCTAGTGAAATGGAAGAATCCACAATAAAGACAACATAAGCAGAAAAAAATGGGAGAAATAATTCTGTAAATCATTACTTTCTGACTCAGTACTTTGTATTCATACTTCTCTGGATTTTTGATCAGCTTTGCATTAACTGCGAATTGACAGCTTTGCAGCTGAGCAAATTCATACGTACAGAGAAAATTATCTATAAGAGTCACGTGGAGATGCCTGTACATTACGTGTTTTTTACTAATTGCAGTTCTGCAATGCAGTTTAAACTGCACTTTTTCCAAGTATGGGAGAAATCTGAACGTTTTCTCTATCTGAAAATAATGGATGGCTTTTGATCTTAGAATGGCACTAAACTTCTCCAGTCACTTTTAGTACCTATGCACTTAATGGTTTTCATTACTTCTGGCAAAAAGATAATTTTGTTAATTTTAATTTTTAAAAGAAGACATCCCAGTGAGTTTAAAATAGGGTATCTCTATAAAGTAGATACATTATATGCACAATTCAGTCATGCATCAACAGAAGCTGTTGTTAGTACCAAATGGAGGGCCCTGGTTAAATTCATTAGCCACTTACTAGGGATTCAAACTGGTTTGCAATAAACCAAGAGTGTGGTTATTTAGCTTGTGTTTTGAAAGCATCATTATGATGTTATTTCGAATGTGTATTAAACCTCAGCTTTTTTAAGAAACTTTTGGGAAAAAACATTACTTAAGAAAATGTGTTTTCCTTTGTTTGTCTTTGCCCCCCATAAAAGCATCCCAAACAGCCACTAGACATGTCCTGTAGTGGATGAGAGGAGTGCAAGCTTTCAGCATGAGGTATAGGGAAGAGAAACTGTATCGTTGTACATGGATGCTTTATTTGAACATTCTTGCACATCAGGGTGCAGCTGATAAATTGCTGCACTTGAAAGATCTCAATATGACCTCACAATGAACCAAGAATGAAGAACTTATGATTAATTTATTGGATAACTAATGAATTATATGGTTTGTCTTCTCACAAATTGTGCAGCTGTGTGATTAAAAACTTGGGAGTGTAAAAGTAAATACAAAAGGCATATGATGTATTGAAATCAAAATGCATTATAATGCTTTTCTGTACAGACAGTGGTTTAGATCAAAATATCATCAGATGCAAGCTTGCACCAATCCCATCCCCAAAATGGCTGTTCAACTTTTTTTTTAGTATGACAATGCAGTATTTGGGAGCAGTCAGTGTCTAGGTTGGTAATGTCAAGATAGGTGGCAAAGGTGCAAAAGGTTAACTCTGATACAGATGAGCCAGCTAAATGCAGACTGACTAGAAACCACTGGAAAATGTTGTGTTTAACAAACAACATTAACCGGAGACAGAGCTGAGACTTGTCTGGGATTTTTAGTGGTGGTGTCATCTCTTGCGAAAGAATGTAACTAAAGGTGGAAATACTGTCTGAAATATTGTACATTCCATACTGAATTGATTTCAGGGTATATTGTGTGCACATTATTCTTTTATATTCTGGTAATAGAATCCAGTCAAAGCATACCAACAAATCCAAACTCATATTTCAAAATCTTTATTGAGAAGTACATTTCTTTTTGGAAAGCCCTGATTCTCAGAATCCTCAGATTTGGGAAATTTTCGTGCATTGTTTCCTGACCAAGAAATAACAGTTTACTTGAGGAAAACCTGCTTCATTTTCCACTATTAATTTTCCCTTTTTACAAGTTATCTATTGCTATTTCTCTAATTAAACTCAACTACTGACGTTTATGAAAGTCCTGAACTTGCTTTATACAAAACAGTGCTTTTTGTTGCCTAAAACTGCTAGCAACATTGCAAATTCTGTCCTGATTTCTGTAATTCTTTTTTCCAAGTTGAAACATCTATCCCAAAAGAAGAAATAGAATCTGGGTTTTTAGCTTCTAGCAGAATAATGGGGGGAGAGAGAAGGTACTGGTATTGGCACTGTAGAAGTCATCTTAGGTGCTATTTAAATTGCTAAGAAAAACAGCCGTGTCCTGTTTCAATAATTTTGGAAATAAAAGAAGGATGTCTTACAAGATGTGCAGAAATATCACTGTAGGCTGCTCTGTTTCCTTACTTCAATTTTATGAAAATTCCCACAGGCTAAGACAATGCTACGATAGAGTAATATTAGATTTTATGCTTTGTTTTATAGCTGAGGTTTTGTAGAATTCTCTGCAGAGAAGAGAAAGGAATATGACAGGGCAGAACATACAAAAAACCCCCAGCAATACCTTGTGTATGTCAAAAAGAACTTTAATTAAAAGCAAGCACTGGCCTCAATGTAAGTTGAAAGTTGAAGCCACCTTAAAGCACTTAATAATGTGCCACTTCAGGACTTTCCTTTAACCTTTCCTTCCAGCTTGTGATCATCTGCTAACTAGTTCTTAGTGTAGGTGCCAAACAGGCACAGTTTTTCTCTGCTAGCATTCTCCATTAAAGGACTGATAATGAGTAAAAGCTACTTTACCCCTACTACACCCTTACTGCTTTTGCTCAGTTCTGTGTAGTTAGCTGAAAGGTACGAGTTGTTCCAGTTTCACAGCAAGCAAAATTTCCAGCAATTTTCACCAATTCAGTGTGACAAATTTGCAAGCTCAAGAATGGTATTTTCTGCCTGAAGCACATTGGCTTCCAAATAATTACAGCCTCTTCCTACTGTGTGTAATACAAAACTTTATTTGATGTGGTTAAACACGGTATGATGGAATTTTCTTTACAGCAGAATATCTAGTTTGTCTTAGGAGCTCAGCTCAATTTTGAGAATTGGCAATTAAAGAACAGTTATAGTCTAAAAAACAAACACAAATAGATCTTGTAATGGGCTTTTTGTACCTCTTATTTTGACAGCGGTACCCATAGTTGTCATTGATTTCTGCTGTAGAAGCTAGTGGAGAGAGAGAAGTTCTTCACATTTTCTTACTGGGAGGGATTCAAACAATTAGCAATGTCACTTTTCACAATGAGGGCAAAAAACAAGGACCAGCAAGCTTCAATTGTCTCTTTTGAGGTCGTTAAATCATACTGTATTTCATAATTACATATGGATTTGGGGGAAGAATTTCTGAGAGGCCAAGTCCAAGGACATATTTTCCCTTCATTGCATGGGAGGCAAAGCTATTAGCTTATGTTACTTGCTAATTATTATTAGCAGAGAGTGACTACTGGTACCACAGCTGTATGCAGAAATGGTCACTGAAATGTTGCTGAGGTTGCTGAAACAACAGCAGCCTTCTCCACTGTCACTACTGCATTTACCAAGACAACAATTGTAGCAAGACTGGGAAAGTCTGGCCCTTGAAGATTGCATCCTACTTTGTGTGAGTGCAGGGTACTGCCAGTTGAGTGTCTGAAAATCAGAGTATTGAAAACTGTCTGAAGTTAGTGAGGCTCAGTCATCTGTGGGTCCTCACAATGAGTTTTTGCCTTGTGTCACAACTCGATGCCACCAGGCTTCAGGTTCAAGAGCAGAAGAGACTAAATCTGTCCATTTGAACCCCTCATTTCCTTTTTGAGTTTTACGTAGAAGATCTCACTATACCACCAGTATTGCTTTTAAAGATTTCCTGCCTTTGCAACTTACTTGCTAAGCAGTCTGATAATTACAGATACATAAAGAGTAAAGAACTTTATCCAATGCCACAGTAGGAGTGTTGCTGTAAAATATAGGGCCAAGGAAAACTTAAGGCTCAGTGCTAAGTGAATGAACCCTGAATATAATCCTATTAAGAAACTGATTACAAAAGTCTGAAATGAAATTGCAAACAAGGCTCTCTGTATGACATATCTCGTCCCATCCAGATTAAGAACCAGCTGAATCCTACGACCAATGTAGAGAAAAGCAATTGCAAAGCAAACAAAGACAACAAACTTTCTTTTTCCTGCTTACTACAAGGAGTAATATTTTTTAAAAAGTGTCTTAGGAAATTGGTTTATAAATTTCTTTCTTTTTACCATTCTCTATGGCTGGCTAAGGTATTTCATTTGTCAATGATGTAGTTTCCTGTAATGTTCAAAGTATGCAAACATAGGAGTCCAGTTTGAATATCAAACTCAGCTGGGGAGGAGTTGAGTGGTGACCAGGAAAAACAGCTCAAGTGCAAGGAGCTGAAGAGATTTCGGAATACACCTGTTCTGTGTCACTTTAAGAGTGCAGAAATGTGTATACCTGCCTAGAGGAGGCTTATGAATACCACCTACTCTTCCTCTCTTTCTATTGGTGAAGAAATCATAGCATCCAGTCCATTGGTAATACAGACTTGATTGCCTTTCAGATTTGTAACCTTTCTTTTTTGGCTTTCATTAGTATGAGTGGAAATTAATTTGGACCGTGTTATTAATACTGTGTTAAGGCTCTTTCTACTGACTGTATTTGACCTTCTGGTATTGCCTAACAGGGTGCAAACTATTGAGTACCTATTGCAATGCTAGACATCTAAAAAACCAAATAGCAAAAACCACAAGTACTAAGACAAGCAATTTGAGCATTTGTGGAAGTTTTTTTTAAATGTTAGCTCAGGTTTGAACACTTTTTTATGACAATCCTATTTTTTCTTACATTTAGAAAAATCTAGACAAAAATAAGTCAAATGCATTTATTGTGGGCTAAAAATGATAGTTCTTCAAATGATAGAATCAAACTTAGTTTGTGGAATTTTAATTAAAATGTTGAGCAATATTGAGTAAAGAAGTTGCATGGCATGTACTTGTCTCAGAAACTTTAGCTGCTATGCAGTTTTAAGATTACCTATTGTAGCCCAAAGGATTTTAAAGCACACTGCAAATGCAAGGGAATATAAACTACAACCACATACTCTTGTTGATGGAAGTTCAGCCTGCCAAGGTTTCTAAAACAAGTGGCTTGATTTACACAGGTGCTGTGTATTTACAGTTTCCTTATTAGATTTTTCTTTGCCTGGTGGAAATAAAAGTCAGGCAACACTAAATTTGTTTAAAAATCAGTTTAGGGTTGTTAATGGTACTTTTGATTAAATTGTGACCCACTCAGATACCTTCTGTCACAATAATATTGGAGTGGGATAGTGCTGCAATATTCTTTGTCCAAAATGCAGTCAAAATTGTCCTGATATTTTTTTCTCAGTTAGCATTTAGCTATGCCTGTTCCAAGAGCTGCTCTTCTTCCTTATATTTAGTGGTGGGGTGAGATTTTACTCTCTTCCATATTATGATTCTGCTGGAGCAAAAATGGTGGGCAGGGGAAGTACGCAAATGAGCCAAATTTCACTATTCAGAAGAATGTAAAACTTAGGAAGTTTGTTAAAGACTGGCAGTGAAGAGATTTCCATAACAAGTTATAACTTCTTCCAGCACACTATGGGCTGAAAGTGTGCTGGCTAACCTGCAGGACATCTGATGACAGGAGTATAAAATAAAACTCAAGAAAAATAGAAGAAACTGTGTAAATTCCTAAGCTGTAGTCCCGGATGGGAGATGTGTGGAAATAGACTGGAGTTTAAAGGACCATGAAGTTACTGCAAAAATAGGCAGGCTGAGCATAAAGAAATTACCAGGACTAACTGGCATTCTTCAACAGCTCTGAAGGAATTTTGAAGTAGAAAATCTGGGTTTCTAACAATGCAATATTTCATTTTTTAGTACTAGGAGGTGTCAACAAACCAGGAGTTGATGCCCAAACCCAGCTTCTCAGGCAACCCTGTGACCTAGAAGCAGGTTAATGTATTATCATCTCTACAGGACAAACTAATAAAAGTGTTAATAAAATAAGTCTTCTGTAATGTGAAGTCTGGCTTTATGAGTTTCTTGTAGGTTTTTTACAAGTCAGTGAACCTGGTTAAGTCAGTAACTGACTGGTTACCCAGTAACTGACTGGGTATGGTTGGATAACTGACCAAAGCCAGGAGACAGGCAATTGGGAAGTATCATTTTTTGCTGGTCATACGAAGTGTTCAGCGTAGCAAGAAAAAAGGCTAGTGGGGGTGGGGAATGAGAGATTTAGTAATTATGCAGTAAAATGTCAGATTATATTCATTACAGGTGAAACTAAAGTAGTGCAAGTGAAGAAAAGCAGTCCTATGGTATCATCCAAAATGAGAGGATTTGAGCAGGCTATTAATGCTGAGGAATAAGACCACGCAGTTCCATGAGAACATCAACTTGTTGCTAGGTAGCAGATCACAAAGCTAATTAAATACTAGGAATTATTAGAAAAGGAATAGAGAACAAAACAGGACATAATTATGGCAATGCATGAATTATATGGCTCGTCCCAAAGTTGAGTATCATGTGCAACTCTTCTCCTGTCATCTCAAAATAGTTACAGAAAAGCTGGGAAAGGTTGAGGGGAGAGCAGTGTGTGTGGTAGAGTTGGTTCTCTACAGGCCAAATTAACTAGACTGGACCCCTTCAAGAAAGAAATTATGGGGAATAAATCACTGGAATTGCATAGAGGGCAGACAGTGGTGGAGAATAAGATGAATAAAGGACTGACAGTTGAACCCTAGCAGAAGCCAGGCTCCAAGCAAACCAGGGGGAGCATTCCTTCATGCGCTGGGTAGGAAGGATCCTCAGGGTGCAAAAAGTTGATGGTGCCTGGGGCAGGCTGGGTGCATGCTTGGGGAAGAGATACACTGCATACTGATTTATAGACCAGCTGGCACACAGCTAACCACAAGTATTCAGGAAGTAGAGTGTGAATGCAGAGAGAAGTATATTTTATCCTTGAAATCTTTTTCTTTCTGTTGCTTGTTTGGTTGTTGTATGTAATTTGTGGTCACTCATAGAGTTAAAACATAGGAGGATGCTGAAGTGATAAACTGGATCTCCCAGTTCTCCAGTGTAAAAATGGTTTTTGATGGAAATTAATATCATGTTACTTCTGATAAATCCTAAAAACTTTTATTTAATTCATCTTTAAATTCTCCAATTTTTCATTACAGGGATAAGCAAATTTTTCCAGGTGTCTGGAAGCCCTTTGAATTTTCATACATTTTTTTTAATATCAAAACATAACATCATAAACCTGTAAAAATATCCCACTCAAAAATATTCTACCTAAGCAAAAACATGTCTTGGCTGTAGAATTTTCTGCCCTTTGCAAGGAAGCTTATTTCTCAGTAGAACTGAAGTGCTTTAAAATCCCTCTGTTAGGATAAAAATGAGATTTCTCAGTTACACCAAGGGCTCCTTTATTGGTATGTGTGTAGGCATTGCAAAACTGTTAATTGAAAAAATAATTCTTTGGCTGTTAGTTCAACACAGGGAGCTTGATAACTGTGATTCCACAGCACTGATATTCAAAAGACATTTATAGAAGAAGGTGTTCTATGAAAGCAGAACTTTTGTTTCTTAAGACTTTGTTTCCATTATACAGATAGCCATTTGGAAGAATTTCCTACCCTGCTTCATTGTGCAGCCAGATTTGGCTTGAAGAGACTTGCAGCATTTCTACTCAGTTGTCCTGGGGCCACACGGGCTTGCAAAATAACCAATAAATATGGAGATGATCCAGAAAGTATTGCAAAGAAGCACGGGCACAAGGAATTGAGAAAATTAATCCAAGAATTGTCAGTAAGTCCATGTGCTTTCCATATGTCATCTACAACCAGGGGGCTAAGATGTTGTATTACTGAAATCCCATAGCATCACTTTTTATAAAGACTTAATATGTTGTAGTCCTTCTGTCTGAAAATCTTGTACTCCTGTCTCAGAAGGAGGGGTCAAAATGGGGTACAGCCACTTTCTTTGTGCACTGATGGTGAAGATCAGAGGTTTTGCACTGCTTGAATCTTAGGCATATAATGGAAAGGAGAACAGTGAGCCAGAAGTGCCTTATGTGGCCTGGTTAGATTGGTGCTTTCAGCACCCAAATAATGGTTATATTGTAAGTAGTCTAGACCAGCTGTCTAGAGTAGGAACTAAAGACTGCTTTAAAGGTCACTTTAAAAGGGACTGTGAACTCTCTTAGCGCTGCTGTTCTTCATGATTCAAAGATGAGTTCTTTTCCTGCCTTCGTTGTTCATGCCACTGTGAAGGAAGGGTAAATTTTATCACCTTTTGATGGAGCAAGTATTTCTTCAGCTGGGTATGCAGGAGGGGTTTGGAGCAATAGTTGCCCTTCCACGTGAAAGATAATAGTAAAATAAGGGTTTCTCCATAGTTCTACCATGCAAATTATTGCAAATAAAACCTAACAGAATTGCAGTAAAAAAGCAATGTACTATAGTGATATTTGACAGCTTTAACCTATTTCAACTCTTTTTGTACTAACTGCAATATGTACAGATATGATAATTTTACAGTTTTTGATACTGCAATTGAGATCAAATTTAACTCAAGAAAATATGTTCCTTTATACCATCCCGCATAAAGCTGTCCATAAAACCATGCTGTCTTCCTGGATCACCATGTTAGTAATTTAACATTTAACAATTTCTAACTGCTTTAGTTGTCCCACAGTCATCCTTGCACTGGTCAGGAACCTCCTGCCAGTAGCAGTCTGATGTGTAAGGTCAGGCTTTTCAGTTCTTGGAGTTTTCCAGTTTGGCTTGAAGAGAATGGGACTGTATTCCCTAACCTCCCACCTATTTGGCTAGGTGCTGTTTTTGTATGGTCAGATACTCTCAGTAAAGTTGTGTGTAAAGGATTGGCAAGAACAGCAGAATATGAATAAGGTGATACTTAATTCTTCATGAAATACCTTGATTTCTTTTCCAAGGTGATCATATGAGCTGAAGGATTGAAACATGAATGAAAAACCATTTGGAAACATGGTTTCCATTGATAATTCTTCATGTTTAATGATAATGATTAATTCCATAGGACATCTGTTTTTTACACTAGTGTTGTTGAAACTCAATTTCTGATGTGTCTTTGTTGTGCACTCCACATGGAACTGGAAGTTTCAGAAAATAGGTACTTTTGTTTTTATACTGATGCGCTCATACTCTGGTTTGGGGCTTCTTCAAGGGAAGACAAGCCTGCATGGTACAGGCAGACTAAGGTGATACACAGAGAGTACATTGCAATTCTACAGTCTTTTCATGTTTTAATAGACCTTGTCAGTGCTGGAAGGCAGTGCTTGTGAGGGTGATTTGTTTCACTCTGAAAAGTGTGTAAAGTGTGTGCATAACTCTGGTTAGCTTTTCTTTATTAATAAGATTATTAATTGTCTTAATAAAGTCTAAATATAAATTTGTCAGTCTAAAACATGTATTTAAAATGGCAGCTGAGCTCTACAATGTAATTTTTCATTAAAACACTTCTCTGATGGTACATGCCTGCTATTGTTTGCACATAAACAGTTAACAATAATTGTTCTCTGCTTTCCCAAGCATGAATACATGTACCAGTATTGAAGTAGAAACTACTCTATGGACACTGTAAACAACTGTAGTCTGGATAAGATATGCAGTTGTACTACCTGTTTTCAGCTGATTCAAATGGTGTCGCCTACTAATGCAACACAAGTAAAAATCTAAGCATGCTTCAAGTCTGCCAAATGTGTAATATGATACTATAGAAATGTTAGCTCCAACCACTGGAAGAAAAATGGCTTATTTGTGTCCCCTGTAATAGTGCACTTAAGCAAAAACACTTACTGTACCTCTGTAATTGATGGGAATGCGGAAAAGAAATATTTGCATGGCTTTGAGCCAAGAAGAATTTAGTTTAACCATCTTCCTGGAACTTCCCATTACAGCTGTAGTGTTGATATTATTTATTAGTAAAATAGAAGCACTTTTGCATTTGGCAGCACTGTTTTCAAAGTGTTACTTGTGTTTGGTTGTTCCTGTAAGGAATAGCCCCAAAATGCACATAGTAAATCATTGCTTCTATCTTAAAGAGCAGTAGGGTTCCAGAGAAATGAATGCATTAAAACATACATTTGATTTTTCCAAAATCCTGCAAAGTGTCTTTCATTTGCTGGAGAAAAACGAACAAAACCCAAAAGAGTGATTTTGAGCTGGAGAATTCTTAGGGGAGTAAGAATTCCCAGAGATGATTAGAGAGAGAGCATCAAAAGATGAAGTGGCAACAACTCAGCTACTATTTCTACCTTCCAGTCCAGCGGGCTGTGCAGGGCTGTGCAGTCCTTTTTGGTGTCTGCTGAGCAGATCAGTGCTCCGGGCTTTTATTTGCTGCTGCTTTGTTGCTAAGGCCCTCCAGCTTCCCTGTCCGGCAGGCTTAATGGAAAGGTGCTCAGGGCTCTGTTGGCAAAGGCGAGCCATGGAAGCTGGCTGGCTTTCACAGGGGCTCATCTGAATGGCCTAAGTGCCCTGTCCCTGTTTAAAGGGAAAACCTCTTTCTGCAGCTGGACACTGACCGTGTCAGTGTGGGGAGTGTTACAGCCACAGAAGACAGATCTGGAGTGCCTCGTGGCTGTGCTGGGAGCTGATCTCCTGATGTGTCAGAGCAAAGCACAAGGGAAGGATCCCACATAACGGGGCATGTTCCTCAGCTGGATGAATGCACACAGAAGAGATTTTTCTGCTTTTAGTACCAGTGTTAAGTGCAGTGCAGGGTCATTAAATGCTAAAACCTCACACCCATTGGGATCCTGTATATATCTGTGCTTCTACCATGGTAGTGTCTGCCTTCTCTGTCAGAATTTCTGCATTTCAGATGCTTCTTGAAAATCTCTGTTCTGGTACACTACAGTAGAATGACTTGTATTAAAGGTACTAAATTGGTGAAACTGTGCCTGAAAGAGTCTTCAGTGAGGATTATAGTGAAACCCAGTTTCAAATGTGCCTGCAGTTTATTAAGCAAATTGTAATTTTTTGCATTTTAGCACAAAGCCACCTCAATGGATATTCATTTCTAATTTCTGCATGTTTCATTATAGTTCAGATAAAGTAATTCCCTCTTCTGTAGCATAATAGAGGGACACACTAAACATTCTGCAATAACATCCTGAATTATTAGTATTTTGATTTTTATTCCTCTATACTTTCAAGTATTTGAATGTTTTCCACAGTTGCCTATAGGCTGAATTGTTTGAATCAAGTGTGTCTATTTAAAACTAATAAGAGACATTTGGTAGGAATACTGGCAGGAGTCCTTGTATTTGAGCCTTTGAGGCTCAGTTGATCCAGCTGATGGCTCAAATGCCAGTAGGAAATGCTTTCCATTAGCCACAGGTCAAAACATATTTGCAGTCAGCTGTTCCAGTACCTGTGACAGGTACTTGTAAAGTGACAGCAGTTCTCTGACATATCAGGGCTCTATTTTAGGTGTTTGCCTTCTGCATATGCTCGGTCTCTGAAAGCTGCTTTGACACAAGCTTGTTCTTCTTGCCACCAGCTGTGGCTTTCTAAGTCTGTGTAAAAATTCTACCTCCAGATTATAAAGAAATCACTGAAATTATGTTCTTATCCAGCACACAAAGGAAGACTTTAAAAATAATGCTTAGAAATAATCTCTTATCTAGGTGAGTAAGGAGGGGAGTGTGTTTCAATTTGTGACCTGACCATTTAAAATTGGAGGTCACACTGGTAGCCAGTTTAGGCATTCGTGCTTTGGCACAGGAGTAATTCTTTGTTCCAGCACTTTGGGTTTCTAATTTCTCCTTTATTTTAATAAGAGCTGTGTAGCTGAATGTGTCATAGCCAGGAAGATTACTGTGTACCACTGTGGTAAACGTCACAAAAAAACCCCACAATTCATAAAGTGTTTTATTGGCTGGTTAATGCAAATGCTTTCTGATTGCTGGCTTCAGCCTTTGAAGCAGATTCCTAGGGGTGGTATAAACTTTATTTAAATATAAAAAATTGAAAGGTCATTTCTTGTTGTCACCACACATTTGAGACAACAAAAATTAATTTTTATTTTTAAAATACCTTCTGACATTTCAGAATTGGTTACCAGAAGTCTAAGGCAAAAAAGGCAGGTCAATTGACCTTTTTTTCACCTGCCCTGTTGCCAGGTCTGTAACAATTTGCAGCAGAACAGGAGACTGATAGAAGAATTTTCTTCCTCTGCCGCTAGCAAAACTCTGTCTGGATTTCTTGTTTAACCTAATTTTCTGTCTGCCTGCTCAAGGCATCCCTTAGGCAGCTATTGAAAATATAATAGGTATTTAATTCTGTACATATTGGTGGAAATTCCTTTAGAACAGTGTAGATTGAGATTGCCCTGCATGGCTGTTCAGAAGCTTGTTTTCTTTCCAGAAGGGAGAGTTACAGCAATTCTAACTCATCTGAGCTACGTCCTGCAAAGTCTAGACCCTCAGTTACTGAGTTCACTGCTGTTAGAAGTTCCCTCAGTAGCAGAGAGAAACACAATCTTACAGCTGGTCATAATTTTCACTCAGAGCCTGTTTTTTGGAAGATCTATGTTTTAGATAGCAGGGGAGGGAGGAAAGACATTTTTCTTCTTGAAATGCCAAGCTATATTTTTATAAATCATAGCAAACTTAAAGGATGGGCAGAAATGTAGTTTGAGAAGTAATTCATCATTGTACACCTCTCCCCTTTCATCTCTTGCTTTGAAGTGCATGGTTGAACCAGAATACAGAATCTCTTGAGCTGTTTTCAGCTTGATGAAATAGAAAACCGTCTACAGAAATA